TTCCCCATACTGATGCTCGGTTTGAACTGTAGGAGATTGTCTTGACCATGTCTGCATGCCTAAATGCACTGAGTTGCCGCCATGTGATTGGCTGACTAGAAATTAAGTGTTAACGAGCAGTTGGACAGGTGTACCTAATAAAGTGGCCGGTGAGTGTAGACAACTAAGGAGACCACATGAAAGTCAGAAAGTCATATCAGAAAACCTTAAATAAATTACAGTAAATGTACACTAAGAACAACCAGAACATAGGATTCTGTGCAATTTAGAGAAAGTGTTTTTTTCAGGATATTAACCAACTTCAGCCACACCTGAAACTATCCCACATGATTTTCACTCTGGACTTGCCATTTCCCTACACAGGTGCTCCGCCTTGCAGCGTTTTAACAGAGTAAAATACACCGAGACACATTATGTGACCAAGGAAATAGATTTGCATTCTGTATTTGCATGAGAGGAGTGACTGCAGCTCAGCCTTTATGACGTGGAGGAAATCTCCCACAATATTTTGTCTACAACCACAATCACGGTTTGAGTGCTGAAAAAAATAATCGAGAAAACCGCTGTCATTCGACTGATCTGTCATCCAACTAATCTGTAATCCAACTCTAATTAAAACCATTAGTGTTTTTTATTTACAATTTATAATTACACTGAAGATGTAATTCTGTTTGTCTAAATAAAGGCTGAGGCAACAGAATTACATATCAGAGGAAAGAAAATGTAAAAAAAATGTGCACAGTACAACATCAAGCCTGAGCTTGAAGAAGAGCTTTTAAATATCTGTTTAATATTATTGCATCCAAATCTATAAACATTTAAATAAAGCTCTGTACAAGCATCGTCTCAAAATGACAAAATCAATCAAATTTATGTTCCACAACAGGACAGAAGTCAGTGTTTTTACTTGATGAGCTACTGTAATGATGCTAGGATTGTGCAGCCACAGGATTTACTCTGAGATGTGCTTAGGTTCCTGCTCTTATCCTCGGTGAACGCTCAGGAGTGTTTGTTTATAGGAACTGAGGGGCCTGAGGAAGGAGAAAAGCTTAACTCCCTTGGTGGGGGGGAGGGAGGAAGGGGGAGATATTCATCTGTTCACGTGTTTCCCACAGTGGGATCTTACATGTGTTGATTAGAACAACTCTGCTCAAAGGAAATGTGGTCCAGAGCCAAATTTCCATGACTGTAAAGAGCCCTCCTCCTCCATGCAAAGTTGGCCTGAGCCAAAAACAAAAGAACGTAATGGATATTTAGACAAGTTATATAATAGATTCTTTCCCCTTTCATTTTGTGCAGACGTAACATTAAATTATGGGAAAATGCAAACATTCTTGACTTGGTAATAAATGACAACTTACATAGCTGCATAATAGAAATAAGACCACAAAGTATTATAAACATAAAATCTAAGCAGCACAGACTTAAAGAGGGTGTACAGGAGCTTAACTTCAACTTTTAGAGCAACGCTTCCCAAAGTTGGGTTCAGTACTACTTTTTTTCATTATAATGCTTTTTCTTTTTTAAATTGGCTTAATTTGAAGGTTTTAATCGAAGGTAGCTTGGGGTCACAAGTTTCTGCTGCTATTATTTTGTGGGTAAAAATTTAAAACAACTTTGGGAACCAATGCGTTCACATCACAAGAACCAGAGCCAAGTGGAGAATGTTGAATAACTGAAATAAACATAAATTCAGGGCAATATTAGTTGGTTTGTGAGGTCATATTACACATAAATACACACTAACAATGATGACTTTCCCGCTATTTTGTTTATTTTAAATAATAGTTTCATTTGCTGCAATACAGGCAAGACATTTGTCAAATTATTGTGCCTATCTGGAAATGTCACATTCTGTGACTCGAATTAAGGCCTAAGGTGATAAGGATCAGGTCACGTGACTCGTGAACAGGTAAATGATGGCTTAGCCTGTACTTTTTTTTTTTTTCTTATTCAAAGATAGCGGAAGAACACAGCAGAGTGCAGGCTGTTCACCGCAGACAAATCAAACCGACCCAATGAGGTATTTTACGTAAAATACGCATTAAAGCAGTCGTAAATTACAGGTTATAAACGTATTTTGCGACTGAGAACCCCCATGTCGTCAGAATGTATGCTAGCATGAAACATTTCGAGGTAAAACTCTGAACTTCCTACCCCTCGTTTCTCAGAGTGAACCTAACCGGGCAGCACGGCGGCGTTGTGTACTTTATTACCGTAGTTTAACCGGTCTACTTACGTTGTCAAAGAGCGAACCGACGTTCGCGGTGACCAGCAGCACATCCGTGACCGTTTCCATCTTTAACCTGACACTTTCCACACGACAGTCCGCGAGGCAACTCTCGGCGGAGTCGCCAAGATGACGCGCGTGCAGCAGGCCAACTGCAACAAAAGTGCTGCGCGAGCTTAAAAATTAAAGGTTTATCGCGTGCGTGCGTGCGTGTAAACCAAAAACTGCGTCTGTCAGCTACCGCTCAAAACACACCACCATCTTCATGACAGCGCGGTTCCTGTGGTCCAGGTCGTCTGCTGATGGCGGGCTGTCGCGTCAGGTCCACGCCGAGCAGCAGCGCTCATGTCCACCGTCGAACCCGCGAGTTTTTAAGTCCCAACTGGGCCAACACGCGTGGATTTCAGTACAGTCCTCTGGAGCTAATTGGACTAGGAGCTTCTTAACGGACCAGGACAGAGCATCAGATGCCGCCTTCACGACGGGAGCCAGCTCAGTCAGAGATCCTCAGGTGCTCCTCCCTGTCACAGTCTACGTAGAGCCCCCAGTTCAAAGTTAACAACCTATGAGCACACATGCATGGTTAAAAAATACACACTGTTTCGATTTTAACATTTCACCAGGTCCTAAACTGAGCTGATAACAGCTTCAGATAATCAAAACAAACATTTTCTTATGTTAATTTAGGGTTGTGGGCTTCTTTTTCACAGTTCTGAGAGTCCCACAGATCTTTGCGTTAGTGTTGAAGTTTGGACTTGACTGGGCCACTGCTGTAACAACACATTTACAATCAGTTTGACCTAGTTTGATAAACCTAACAACGACTCATTTAATGCACTAAGCTGAAAGATGCTGTTTTCTTTTTACCACGACTATCCCATTTATTCCAGCCAAAGTTTATGTTGTGCCCAACACAGCTGGAGAAACACCATCAAATGTAATCAAACATTACATATTTACAATAGAAACTTGAACAAGTTAAATGACAGAGGAAGTTCAAAAAAGCACCTGAAATTATTTTAAACTGACTACTCACACAATGACTGTGTTAGATACAAAGCAGGAAGTTGGTAACTTTTCTGTGAAAATGTTTCAACAAAACATCTTTCAGCTGAAGACCGCTTTTCATTAAACTCAGAAGCATTGAATTTCTCATAATTTGAGTGTTGAATAATTAGCTAGATGTGATCGTACCCCATTTGTAAAACCATCACCTGTAAATCTGATGCAATGAAAAGCAAACTTAACTTGAAATATGTCTAAACCCACTCCTCCAAAACTCAATCACCACCACAAATTGCATGTTTTACAGCAGTGGTTCCCAAAGTTGGGGTCGGGACTCAAAGTGGGATCCTGAAACATCAAGGTGGGGTCCTGAAAAGATTTTCTAAATTAATTACGTTTTTACCTTAGTTGCCTAAAATTTATAAATGTAGAATAATAAATATTGTAACTATGCCCATGTTTAGTTGACCTGATACAAATGTTTATCATCCAAACATAGTTGTGGACACAGGTCTCTGCTACTGTTATTTTGTGGGTCAAAAGCTGAAAAGTTTGGGAACCAGTGCATTTCAGAAATCAATTTAAAGGGTAATAAAATAATTGGTGATGTAATATTTTCCCTATAATTATTACAAAAACAAAAAATAAGTATAAATAAGTATTTGCATTTGTGCAGCCTTTGTTTTTCGGGTTATTAACAAAGTTTGTGTACTCAGACCAGTAATATTTGGGGTCACAAGTTTTTGCCATGAATATTTTGTGGGTCAGAAGATAAAAAGTTTGGGAACCACTGTTTTACAGTATTGTCCAGAACCACCACTGGGGCTGTACAACACTTTTGTGGAGTAGATGGATCTGTGCCATTCAGATGCTGGGGTACCAGCCCAAGGTAAAGCAAAAAATAGTTGGTGGCCCGACTCCTTCTCTCCATAGTGCTGTTACTGAGCTGTTAAACCATGGCATGAGTTGCACAACCAGCCCATTATAAGTCGTCTCCCTGCTTCCTCTTACTCCTCCTCCAAGGACTGTGTGCTGAATTCATCACGGTCAACAGATCCATTTGAAACTATCGCAACAGAGATGCTGACGAACGATGCCACTGGTGTGGAAACAAAAACAGTTTAAGAAGAAACCTCCCTGATAGGAACCAGGACAGGAAGTCAGTATAACAGAAAACATAATTACATAAAAACTTAATTTACACTGAGATATTACATTTCTTCCACAGATTTAGAAGTATACTGTATGTTGCTCATGCACAGTATTACACTTATAATAAATGTTTATACTGTACATTTTATTTGATAATAAACACAAAAATAGTAGAAATATTCAACCATCTTAAGGATTTTCATTTGTTATGTTAGTGTATTTTAAAAAATTCCTTATGGATGCAGCAAGTATGATTAAGAAACTTTAAAAGAAACTACTTTAAGTCAAAGGAAGAGTCACATTCTTGAACATTTATTTTGATGAACTGATTTGAGACTATCTAAATGACCATCTTTGAACAAACTGGTAAACCTGCTAAAGGCCGTCCACCATGTTCAGAAGACAGGTCCTCCTGACCTTTCTTAAGGTTGCAAAGGAGGAACTTTTTCAATGAGGGGGAAAATAAAGACAAGCTTTTAGAGTTCACCTAAAACAGATGAGGTAGCATGGAAACTATAACAGGTGGCAAATAAAATCGTGGAAATGAAAAAGTTTGATTATACATCAGCAGATCATCATTTAGAGCTGTTTCAGTCAAAGGATCAGTGTGAGGGTCATTATTGTTCATAAATCCCTGCTGGCCATGAGCCTTCAAAGCGCAATGTTAAAACATCCTTATGAAATGCTTCAACAAGAGACTATAGGTCCCTTTACAGTTCCTACTTCATAATGTGAAGAGTTTCACATTCCATAGTAAAACATGAAAAACATCAAGAGCTGGTCTGTAACACAGTTGACCACAAGTTGATACAAAGCTTAATGTAAAAAAAATTTTTCCTTTTTTTTTCCTTGGAAAAAAGCTCATAAAAATATCTGAAGTGTAACAAAGTCAGGCATTTCTCCCTTGTGCAGTAAGGACTAGCCAGCCACAGGTTTAGGTTTACAACAAACAAGATTTCATCTATGGAATCTCACTCCTACATTCCAGTCTGTAACTTAAACATGGTGTATTACAAACAAGGCTTAAAAATTAAAGTTCAACTACAGAACAAAACAAAAACAAGGTACTGAGGAAGACTTTCCGTTGTGTCACTGTCTTTTCATTTCTAATACAAGCAGGGCTGTGGTCGAGTTATTCCAACACAGGGTGGGGGGGCTATAGACCTCAGAACAGTGATGCAACTGAACATGCCAGGCTGAGGAGGTGGCTGAAGAAGCCAAATGGAGTTACTGTCTAAATCAGGGAGAGACGTATCCAGCCCAGCTTTCTCCGGTGCTAAGGCATCCCTGCTCACTGACCATTTTGTGAGAGGTGCCCAGTTTGGTCTTTGAGCCAGTCCAAGTTCATCATAGTGTTCAGGAGCGGCTGCGGTCTTCTTGGGTGCCCACCAACATTTTACTGTACAGCTTCTGTTGCTCTTCTTTAAATGTATCTTTTACCTTTTCCCGCTTCAGTCCTCCATCCCTTAAAACAAAGAAAAAAAGTTTTCAACTAAATTTCAAAGCTTCCATCAGCGTGTAGCCAGTCTGCAAGAAGAAAAGGTTGAGGTAGACAACCTTCAGTGAAAAGGATGCAATAATACATTATTGATACTGAAGTAGCTGCCACATTCAACATCTGAGCTTTTAGCTGCCTGACTTTCAGTATTGCTGCTGTATTGAGGTTAATGTAATGTGCCAAAATATCTGCTGCATGGAAGTATTTTAAAATATAAAAGAGGGGCAATTTAATAAGACACTGAACAGCAGTAAGCAGTTGGACAGCGACAAGCTAAAACAAGCTAAAGGCAATGCTAAGCTTCAAAACAATAATAATTTTGACATCTCACTCGTGCGCTGGGCCATCTGGAAGGCTTTTAAATGAATGACATACTATATTCATCGTTTGGTAATATTGTTTACATTTCAAAAGGTAAAAAGGATTATAGAATAACTGTCTAAATTTATTGCTTTAGATGACCAACCCATCACTGTGGTGTTGCTTTCTGGAGCTGCTGGAGTCACAGCCTACCATCACAACAGAACACAACATATCTGACAAGGTAGAGACATATAAGAACTGCTTGCCAACACCTTGTTGATTAAAAATTTAAATAAAATAAAGAAACTTAAACAAAATGAATACAGGTTTAGCAATTGTACTCACTGAAATTTTGAGGTGAGTGCATAGATAATAAATATTTTAAGAACTCTACAGAACTATGACACCATCACTGATTGGATCTTCACACTCCTTACAAACACAGAGGATGTTAAAGAGTGTACACCTGCAGAGGCTTTATGTTTGCTGAGAACATTAACATATAACACCTTATTTTTGTCTATTAGTAAATCCAGTTTTGAAAGATTTTAATTTCAAACCGTTTGCATGAAAACAATGACTCACCACAGGAGGTCGACCAATCCACCTTTTCTGGCTATAGCTGCTTTCACACGATTGGCAAACTGCACAGCATCTTCTCCCTCCTGTTGGAGATGATTCAGATAATTTTAATGTCGGTGAACAAACGATTTTTAACAAATAGTACTGATATATTAAGTTACTATTACTATTATTATTATTGTTATACATTATAAAATATTTGATCAAAATGCCATGTCACAGATGCTGCTTTAATGGATAACATTCACACCCAACAAAAGAAGAGGATGCAATATTTGTTGGGAAATTATTAATAAAGGTAACCTAAGACAAGAACTGCTTAAGAAGTTGCACATCAGATGGGCCTATTTTCCCAGTCAGCTTATTACTGTAGGCTGACAACAAGGTAACAATTAATATTATAATTAGGCATTAGGTAATGACCTCTCTGGACATAGGAGGGAGGTACCACACGCTGCAGACGATGGCCCAGCTGCTCATCATGTGTAAAAGATAGTTGACCATTCCAAACTTGCTGCTATTCCAAAACGCATCTCCAAACCGGGGATCATACTACGAGGAGCACATCAGAATGCATAATCAATACTTGTTAACAAAATACAGTTAAAAACGAAGCGATCCAGACGTGATTCATCACAAACAAAAGGTTAAGAACCAATACCTTAATGGCCACAGGGTAGACTGTGGCGCCAATATCAAAACTGCCCTTCTTAAACATCATAACTGATGTGTTGTTGATGCAGGTACCTGAAGATTTGAAAAAAGGGTAAAATAAAATACGGTGAACTTAAACAACAAACTAGATGTTTAGTCTATTTGTACCTGATTACCGAACAAACTCACCTTCTGGGAAAATGAGAATAGGTAATTTAGATTTATCCTGTACGTGATCACTCAATCTGTAACACAAGGACAAAGAAGTGTATTACCACACCCAAATTCTATTAAACTTTCAGCATTTCTAATGAATGTCAAAAGCAGAAACAACATGAGAGGAAACACTGCAATGTTTCCAAAGAAAACAGAAGCAACAGAGCGAAATAATACCTTTTGGCCACTAGGTGTCGGTCTTTGACTTCTGAGCGTTCAAACCAAACGTGTGGGCAGGCTTTGACCATGGATCGCTGTATAACACCCATTAAGCCACCATGAATTTGACCAACCTAGCAACACAAACAAACAGTGGCATCTATTCCTGCAACAAATATTACTTCAGCTGGCTGTTTCAATTCAAGCATGTTCCAAAGTTTTGAGTTTTTTCAGCTTCATGCAAGAAAAGGAGCATGTTTACCATGGCGTAGCAGCCATCACTGGCCAGGATGATGACATCAATAGGCGAGGTGTGATTAGCCACGCAGATGCCCCCATTCTTGGGTTTATTCTCACTGAAACAGTATGGAGAAAGACAAAACTGTTAAACTATGTTAAGTGTAAGTCCTTTTAATTGGGGATGTATAAATAACCCAATACAACCCAAGACATCCACTGATACTTCTCCTCTTCAGGAGACAAAGAAAGCTGATGTCTGTGATAAAAGCTCTGACATTAACATGCAGGACTTGAACGTTCTCAGTGCACATGCCATAGATAAAGTTACAATCTTAAATAGAAAGTGCAACACTTCCTGTGTCAGCTAATTATTTTTAGCTCCACACTGCAGAGGAACACATTTAAAACAGGCCAAACTGTACTGGTAGCCAATATGAAAAGTTACAGGAAATGGTTCAGCCCTTTTGCCTTTTACATGACAAAAGCTCGGTTGATCAATAATAACGTTTTAGATTTAATTAAGTAAAATTATTATTTAATTTCCCCTGATTTAGCATGATATTACAGACTTATGCTCTTAGATAATTTTACATTTACTCAGTCATGTAGTGCTTCTAACTCTGGTGCATAGTGGTCACTACAGTGGACAGCTGTTTAAATGCCATTGTTTCTTAAATGCAGTGGTTTCTATGGTGGAATTACATCTCAGTCCTTAGAATGCTCTCTACTGCTCCCCGCCATTGAGGTCAATTCAGTGGTTAGTTATTGTAACTACAAGTGAACGTCATCAGAATCCAAGATGGCTGCCAGACAGACACACTTGTGGACCACTCCTGTAATATCCTGTCAACTGATATGCAGGAGTATCTAAGTAACAATATTATTAGTTTAGTTTGGAAAATGTTTTATTACAAATAAGTAGGAAATTACAATTAACCATGTGTCCAACACAGTGGACGTCATGCATTGCTGACTAAATTTTTAACATAAGCCATGTAGTTGATATATCTTTCATTATGACTGTTTTGCTTAAAATTAAATTCATTTTGGGTACATCTATAAGTTAGTTTTAAAATAATTTAATTTTTGTGCAGATCAGTCATAATTTTCTCATATTTTTAGACCACAAGTGCTGCAAATAATAAGGAACTTTATAGAATAATCAAGGAAATGCCTTCTGATGAATATAATAACAGCAGTGATGAGGAGTGGTTGCCAGAGAACACTAGAGACAAAGGAGATGTGGATGATGGAGATGGGGGGACAAGATTTTAGTAAATAAGTAAAATATTTATTTATAATTTCAACTCTCCCTGTTCCATGCACAGTGACTGTTGGATATGGGCACCAGGGACCCCCATGACCCTCAAAGATAGAAGCAATTAAAAGATGATGGATTGATTTTTAACTCTGTTTTTCAAAAACAATTTTTAATATTTATAAGGTTTCTAATAATCCTAACAGCTAGAGGCAATTAAAATGAGCACAAAACGGCCCATTTGATGAAGACTGTTTGTTTTCTTTGTTTAGGACTAAACAGAAGGGCTGAGAATGTTGAGCGTGTGAAAGTATGTTCAAGTGCTTTTCAAAGTATACAATGGAATACGTGCTCATGGATTTATAATAAAACTCAGATGGATTCATTCTTCAATTAAGTTCATACTGCTTTACGTTGAGTGCTTAAGCACATGTAGTCCACTGTAGTGGGCATTTCTGCAACTTCCTGAAAATAAAATCTAATTTTGGAAAGAAAAAAAGTTCATTATTGTTTTTTTCATGCCCTAAGAAGAGTAAAGACAAATAAAAAAATCTTCACTCAGGATTTCCTAATTCATGCTGATGATTTAAACCACAGCTTGTAACAAGGTCAATAACAGCCCAGCTTCCTCCTCCACATCCTGTTTCATGTGCCACCCTCTACATAAAGTCAAGCCTCTTTTCAAGTTTCTTGGTTGTCACACCTGTAATTTAAACAAATTGTTCTACTTGCTTTAACAACAAAGTAACTGTAAACAAAACCTGTTGGCAGTTTATTCAACGCAGTTGCAATTTTACCAGCAGCAGCTCTAAACTTCAAGTTTGTTTTTCTTTTATTTGTAAGAATATGTTCTTCATCTAGGCTCAAAATGGCTGCTCCTCTTATGAATATGAAAATACACTCTGGGTCTGTCCTCAGGCACACTTGTGTTCTATCAAAACTGGAGGGGATCCGGTTTCAGCTGTGAACACACACTGACTTTGGTTCGCCGAGTATAAATCATCTGGTCTTACGTAATCCAAGGAGCACCGCTCCACTCTCATGTCAGGGCAAGAGGTCTGCTGTAACTCAAGTTTGAGAAGAGGTAAAAAATTGGGACTTTCTTGCTTTGAAATGTCTGAAATTTTTAAACCAAAACTTCTTTAAATCCAATTCATACTGCATAACCTACGTCTGTTAACTTATGTAAATAAAACAAAAAACATTTTTAGTAAGTTCCACCAAATCTTTTGATAGCATACTTACAGTATGTTGCCTCAATGTCCTGTTCTGCATTTTGTATTTATTAAAATAAACATACAAGTTATGAGGGATATACAAGCCTCAGTGCGGTAAGAAATCCTGATGTAGGCAAATATACATGAAGGGAGTAGGTTTCAGGCCTAGTAGGAGAGAAGTTTTTCTCTAAAGCCATCTAGTCTTCAGGGAATTTCTTGAAGGTAGGACAACCCTGAACACCTAATGCCATGTGATTAGTGATAACGTTAGGCAGTTCTGAAAATTTAACGTCATCAGACTGTAGGCTATTGGTTAGCCAGAGCGAAGTCAATTCTGAGAGTGTCTCCATAACAAGAATCAAACTGACCTTTTAAAACCCTCCCAACTGCATAAATGGTTTTACAATACAACCATTAAACTAGCAACAATGTGTCATAAGGACATTCCTTGTTTTTTTTTTCTGATGGCAAAATTCAGATGACCAAATAGAATCAATTTACAGGCTCCAATTGACGGAGGAAAATGGTGTCTTAAGTAGGGTTGTGCAAAATTATATTGTGTGCAATTAATCATCATAAAAACTTTAATTGACTATTTTTTGGCACTTGACAAATAACACGATTAATGTCATCAGTCTGCTTGGTGCTCCTCTCCTCTTCAAACATGACGAACATTTTTAAAAAAAGTTCTGTAATTAATTAATCATAACTCCGGTTAGGAATGCGCGATATAAACGATATACGGTAGAAACGATATAAATTTGTCCTATGATAGAGATCTGTTGTCTACCGGCCAACCGCGCAATTCTTTTTGATGACGTAACCAGCTGGAGTCAAAACAGAGGAAGCAGGAAGCAGCGTGGCTGAGAGCGCAAATGAAGAGGAGAACAAAAACATAACTTATCCAGACCTGGTTCGGGTGTGTGAAAATGAACGCCGAACTGTTTCCATGTTTACGTGACGGCGCGTCCTGTCGGCTGCAGCGGGAGGAGCACGCGCTGGCACATGGTGAACGCAGCGAGGCGACTGTCAGTGCAGGTGAGGACGCACAAAAGCTCGCTGAGTCTGGACCTCGTTTCTCCTGCGGTCATAGCGCAATACTGTCTCCTTGTACAGCGGGGAAGCACTGTGGGAAAGGCTGACAGTCAGACTGTCTTCCCAAAAAAAAAGGGGGGCATAAAAATGGGATGATTGTCACCCCGCTGGAGCGTGCACAGATTAAATGCGTGGAGTGCAGAAAAAATAATCTGCAACGTGTGTAGAAAGGAATAAATACAAGCAATTTGTTTTACCACCTTGAAACGAAGCAGGTGATTCCAAACACAACATCCAATGGATGCAGATATCTATTACATTAAAGTTATTGTGTGTGTGTGTTATGTTATATATATATATATATATATATA